TATATATATATATATAGATATATGTATACATATATATGCAGATAGAGAGAGAGAGAGACAGAGAGAGAGAGACAAAGATAAATAAATATAAAACATACTCTCTATCTACTACCCCTAAAGCAAAACGCAAATAAGAATTGCCTTCAGCTTCATCAGTTGCGCTGAGCTTCAACGGAAATAAAATAAATTTTGCTGCTTCACATTGTTTTAGCTCCGCTGCAGACAGTTGCTATCAATGAATACAAACAAAACAACAAATATAAACATATATATTAATATTATTAATATCTTTAATATTATTTAAATACATTAATCTATCAATCAATAAAATATACTGCACACGCCAGCACAGAGAGAGAAAAAAGGATATATATATATATATATGCAAATATAAAATTTATATATATATATATATATATATTTAATGATATATATATATAACCACTAAAAAGCAAAATGCATGCAAGCAGAAGTATAAAACAAATAAAGGAGATACACCGCAGAGGATAATAAATAATAGCAAAACAAACAAAACAAACAAAACAAAAAAAAACAAGAAGAGAATACACCCCTGAAAGAATCAAAGTAAAAGAGAGTAAAGATAAGTGAGATAAAAAAATTAATAATAAAATAAATAAATAAACAAAAAATATTAAATGCAGACTTAAACAAACAAAACAGAAAACAAGCAAAGGAATGTCTTCGACGAAAGTAAAGCCAAGTAAAATTTAATATTATAATGTAGGGATATAAACAAATAAATAAATAAATATAAATAAATAAATAAATAAATATATATATATATTTATTTGTATTATTTATTTAGATAGATTTATATATATGTCGTTTGAATTACAAGCAAATGTATATACTCGTATCCCTATTAATGCTACATATTCATATACATACATACATACATACATACATACATACATAAGCAAACAAATAAATAAATAAACATATACATATATATATAAGAAGCAAAGCAAAAGCTTCTAACAAAGACAAGGAAACAACGAAAAGAGTTTGAGCAAAAAGCTTACAGGTAAGTGCACTTGAGCGCCCGTAGCTTTAACCTCAGGGCAATACCTCCTCCACCAACTAACTATGAAAGTCTCAGCGACTCTGAATTCAAAACACAACGCCCAGCCCTCATACGACCTCCTGCATGCAAGGCTACCTTCTTAGCTAGCTAGCTAGCTAGCTATGAAAGTGGCTAGCTAGCTAGTTATAAAAGTGGCTAGCTAGCTAGCTCGCTAGCTATGAAAGTGGTCAGCTAGCTAGCTAGCTAGCTAGCCACAGGAGGATCCTGCTAGCTACAAGGACTACCAGCTAGCTGGTGAAGTGCACAGATATGCAGCTAGCTAGAAGATACCCCATACCCTAAACCCTAAACCCTAAACCCTAAACCCTAAACCATAAACTCTAAACCCTCAGCAGCAAACGCTTACCAAAACGCGCAGGAGGAAAAGGCTCTCCTGTTAGCATCCGCTCCAGAGGGACAATCTGCAAACCCACAGAAACCCTAAACCCTAAACCCTAAACCCCAAACCCTAAACCCTAAACGCTGAAGCATCAACCAACCAAGAACCCTAGCGAGCAAGGAAACCCTAAACCCTAGCACGCAGCAAAACCCTAAACCCTCGCACACACACGCCGAGCACCGTACTTTAAAGCCCAGGCCCTAGCTCCATCCCCAAACCCTAAACCCTAAACCATAAACCCTACTTAACCCTAACCCCTAAACCCCAAACCCTAAACCCTAAACAATAAACCCTAGTTAACCCTACACCCTAAACCGCAAACCGTAAACCGTAAACCGTAATAAACCCAAAACCCTAAACCCCAAACCCTAAACCCTAAGCCCTAAACCCTAGTGAACCCTAATTAAAGCTAAACTGTAAAGACTTACGAAGTATTGCTTAACACCCGATCGTACGAAGTACCAGCTGAAGATAAGGAAGAGCGTTGCTCCTACAGTTTGAATAGCAGGAAGAGTTAAACCTCTGCGAGTGTTGTTGAAGAAGCGTTTAGCCCTCTGAAGCCATGGTGTCTGAATATGTTTTCTTTCTCTTTCTTGCATTCTATCTTTATAATTACGTTGTGCAGGAGGACGCATATAAGAACTACCCGAATATAGTCCGAAATCTGTTTCTGTTGTAATATCTTCAAATGCATATCGAGGCATCTGCCAGGGTGTATTCATAAGAAAGTCCTCCATGCCTCTTCTTCCTTCATTTGATTTAAAACTACCCCATACTCTTGCTGCTTCTGTCTTTAAATAATTTAATTGCAGCACAAAATGCAAGCTCAACATACACCCCAGATATACAATCCTCATTTTCATCTTCATCTAGCCTTTTTTCTGCATCTAAGGAAACCATTCACCAAAATATAAATCTTTCAGCACAAACTTCCTAAGATAAAACAGCTTTAAAAGCTGCTACTTCTAATTTTGTTTGCATAAAATTATTGTTGTGGCTATAAACAAAACTGCTTACAATACAAGTTCAGACCGAAATACATATCTATAGAAGAAACCCTAAGGCTCTGTATGATCTAGATAAACATACAAGTATTCAATAAACCCCTCCATAGCCTCTTAATGAATTTGTCTGTCTTTATTTCTCTCGGAAAGCAGAAAAACAAATGAAAAACAAGAAAAACCCTTAAGCGTAAGATGATGATGAACGCGACCGTGAGAGACGAGAAAGCAAATGATTGAATACCTAAAGAAGCTAAGATAATTCAGAACAATATATTTAATTTGTTATATTTTATTCAAAATACTTTGTTTGAACATATTCAGCTTTTCTCCGAAAAACACTCTACCGGCACACCTTCTCGACAGCCGACGCATACAAGAGGAAGATGAATTCAGCAGCATTGACCGATCGATACACCAGAAAAACAAGAATAAACAATATTATACTAATATTATTTAAATAATCTTTCTTTAGATGAGCATACAAGTGAAATAAACCCGAAAAATATCGCGGATTGGCAGTGTAAAGGATGAAGGTCTGCAAAACAATGCGGCTGATCTAAGGTTAAAGTTGCGGGAATAAACATAAAAAGAGAATTAAAATGAGACAAAAGTTTATAAAAAACAATATATTTTAATCAATAAATGAAAAGAACGAAGAGAAAACAATACGAACGCCCGTCGTTTCTACAACCCTCTATGCATATTTCATATGCATCAACTCTTGCTCCTTTATCAACTCCTTCGAAAGCTAATTGCTTTATTGATATTATTATTCTTGTGAATATTATTAAAAGAAAACTCTTTTTACTTTTTCTCCTCTTCTTTCTTATACATTTTCTTCTTCAGCCACCTCGAGCCCCACGCGGTGGACGCTGTATGCATTTATGAAAGAAAAATCAGAAAATGTATATAAATTTAAAAGATATTAATTCAATTTACTGTATAAGAATATAAATATAAATATAAACCTATTTTTTATTTATTTCTTGCTTTCCCTCATATCGAGGCCTCATCCTTATTCCTTAACAAGCCACCCAAGCAGACGTAATTGAATATACAATAAAGTATTTGTTTTTTAGTGCATTTATACCTGTAAATAATTATCAATCCTTTAATATTATTCATTTAACCCCTCTCTCATTCAATAGGCCTGTAAAGGTCTTCATAATAAATTCTTTATAAGGTCTGTCTACCATAGATATAATATGCATCTTAGTAAAGGCAAAGCTGCTTATTTTTACTAATCTTTAAATAAATGTTTAACAGGTGTCTACACTGCTGATAATATTATATATATATATATATATGTATATATATATATATATACATATGTACACATATATATATATATATATATATATGGGTT